GCTGGCAAGTTCGAATTGTTTCGTGGGTCATATTTTATACACCCCTGAATTGAGAAATTACATCTTCCGTTTGGATACGGTTTTAAAAATTTGTGTAACGAGAAGAGACCAAGTCTAAAATCGGTTTTTGCTATCAAGAAGAATGATAAGAATGTCAGTCTAAAGCAACTCAGGGCTACGTTGGTTACATTCGTAACATCAAGAGGATTTCAATGTGTTTCCGCAAAATAAGATGTAAATCATACACCATCCACAGTTTTAAAAGGTGTTGAAAACAGTTTGTATCCCTGAAAGCCAGAACGATTCCTGAAATTGTCAAGATGATTTTGACTGAAACTTCCCCCTTCTCTTAACATAGGATGCTAGGATGCAGTCACAGAAGCGGGTAATTAGGTTTAGTGCCCCACCTCCATTAGTGTAACCTTTCTGTTGAATGACTACTTAGGAACGCACAGAAGTTTCTTTTATATGCGTTTTGCAAGAAGCTTCGTACAGTTGTTATAGCGAGCAGTGATTTACTTCATCTTACCTTGGGGCGTTTTGTTACGGAGCCCGTGTTAGGGTAGTTACGTCAGTATGGGTGTCGAAAGTCGCCGAGATCTGACCATGAACTACCAGAAAAAAGGTAGGCAGCTCACGATCTTTGCATTGGTATCACAAAATATTTGGATCACATGCGAATGTCCGATATCTGAATGCAATGCATTATCATACTTATTCCAAGACTGCAGGGTAATTGAAAAAAATAGGAAGACGAGATTGAACCAAACAAGGGCAAAATCATAATAAAATATAGCTAATAAATCGCTCAGAAATGTGGTAAAGTTCAAATGTATGGAAATTACAGTAGCAAATCATATCACATTCGCTAAAGAATTAAGAGCTGGTTAAATGGAAGAATCTTGCTAACATTTACCTCAGAAACTCGTGTCTTCCAGTTTTTTATATAAAATGTAAATATTAAAATATGTAAAATTAAAACCAAGGGCTTTATACATTTTCACAGAACGACACAGAAAAGCTCAATCACCACTGACTAAAATGGGATTCGAACTTGAAATTCCAATCTTCGCGAGGCGCAAAAACTTGAAATTTCAACTTGAAACTTACTGGGTAACAAATGAAGTACATTTACACAGTAGCCTTGTGATGTATATTAAACATTTATTAAGCAAAAATTTAAATTAATTTGTCATGCCCATTTTGAGAAGACAAAATCATATGTAATAAGAAATTAAACTAAAAGTGTTAAAACACATTTGAATGCAGTCAATTAAACTATGAGACAACAACAGACATGCAATAACCAGAGACGGAAAACAGACAAATAAGCATAACAAGATGGAAAAATTTATTTTGAAGATCAAGAGAGACAAGGGAAAAGGAAATAAGAAAGTGCAGAGAAGAATTAACTGCAAAGTGTAGAGGGAGTAGTCGATCTTTGAATGTGGTACAAATGGTAATGTGTGTTGCGAGGTGAATTTTAAAAGCAATACAGAAGACAGGGAAATAACATATCTTCGAAATATAAGAATGGTCCATTGCTAATAAATTTGTCCCAGATAGTTTTGTAGTGAACCCAGAACAAAGATAATGCCGTGCCGAAGATGGCTGTCTTCTGAGTTGTTGCGCCGTGTACTCTGGTAGAAGTTTACCGACGTTTCAGAGGTCTTACTGCCTCCATCATTAAGACGACCAGTCAGAAGTCAGTCCATCTGCTGTCCTCGTCTTCAGGTGTAGTGAAGGGGGCACATACACTTTGGGGTCCGTTAGAATGAGCTAATCTCAATCACTAGAAACGTTGTGTATTTTATAACATCAGACGATGGACAAGGTTCAAAACATAACTGATTGTTATGGTTTATTGAAATTCCAAGTTGACTCAAATGTTGTTACCATCATACGGACACTTCATCTTATTTTAGAAAGCAAAAGATCTTATCCCGTTTGATCCTAACCACATCTCTCTACTCAACACTAGTCACGAATAGCATTTAACATAATGTGAACCGTCATTGGGAATTCCTGTGTAAGGAAACTAGTTCTATCCAACACAAATATTACTGTTAATCGTTTTCTATAATCCTAGTGCTTCGCCTGGTTTCCGTATATGACCATTTAAATAGGAGAAAGAGAATGAACTGTTCCAACAAAATGCAGAAGTAGTTTAAAAGAAGAACGCAGAAGAAAAATACAGAATTTTGAAATGTGTTCTACGGTGTCTTAATTTCTTGCGGACAAATATATTACTGAAAGACAGAATTAAGAAAAAGTTTTACTTCACACAGACCTAGTCGTAAACTAGTACAATTATATTTCGTTGATCAAACAAGTTCATGAATCGAAGACCTTTATCAGAAGGTAATGAATACTCGTTGTGCTGGCCAAGAAATTCCCCGACATCTGTGGAATACGAAACTGGAAAATCCCCATCAAAGTTGCTTGCCACGAAACGCAATGAATCGATGCTGGCGCTTTGGCAGAGGCAGTAGGATTAATGGACATGCCTAAAACACTATCCAACGAGAAATATAACATCTTTTATGCTCCCATTGGCACCTTCCTGACAAAGGTGTCGCCATAAATTACAGCTACACGCAGCCCATGACATCATGCTCGCAGTATCTTCGGAAAAATATATCTAACACTTCTTGAGACCGGGAGCCCAAACGGGATTCACAAAAATAAGCAACTGGTTTTCGAAAATTATTCATGACATTCTGTGTCTCACAGAGAGGCCATGTTGCTTCTCTTTTAGTTTTCTCATAGAGCTTAATATGCTCCGAAGGAAGGAACCTCGCAAGATTTTTTTTGTAGAAATTTGGCAAAAACGGGCCATTCTTAGCTCCATATTTATACCACCTACAAAATGAAATTCGATTCTGTTAACATGGCGATACCCAACCAGAAACAAAAACCTCCTTTAACGACCAGCTCACAATTAATTTATAAAATATCAAAAGATGTCCCCATGTTAAGCAATGGACCATTTTATATTCCGAAATCACCTTCCGAGGTGAAGTAGACATTGGAGATTTGTTCCGATTCGACTGTTTCCAGTCTGTCATCGCCTTCGGCTTCATGAGCTTGATGATGATGATGAAGTTGATGATCCGTCGAGTTGTCCCTTAGTTGGAGGAGGACGTTCGATGAGGGTGTCGTCGTGGTAGTGAGATGGGGGAACAGACGTCTCTGCAGATACTGTGCCAGGATCTGTTGTGTTATGCGGTTCTGTCGAGCAATCTCACCTGCAGCCAACACACAACCCACCATGTAGCGACAGCTTCAGTTCAGCTACAGTTCAGTTACAAGCAGAGAAAGCATTCTAACGTGAGTAATAAACGAAGAGTGATTGAGGACGTCATGCGTACATGATGGAGACGAGAAATATGTACAAAATATTCCGAAAACCTGAAAGGAAGATACAAATTGGGATATATCGGCTGGATGAGAGGATATGGACTGCATCGAAGTGGTTCGGGGCAACGGCTAGTAGTCAGCTTTTGTGAACAAGGTAATAAACATTCCGGTTCCGAAATATTTCAGCAACTGAGGGATTGTCAGTTTCTCAAAAATAAACCTACATGCCTCATGGTTTTAGTGAAACTTTAAGACTGAGGCAGTCTGTATTAAATTTAACCTATAGATACAGATTGTGGTCTTTCCAGCCCCTTCGCTAAATCGTCGTTAGTTGTAGGAGTACACCAGCGTTTCCAAAGAACATGCTGACTCCACAAGATTACAAGATCAACAAGTCACAACAACACAATCTGAACTGACGATATCTCGGACAAAGAATGTACTAATATGCGTCTGTGACCGTCCACCACTTTTCGGGCAATAATGGGATCTCCCTCGATTACATTAGTGCAAGAACAACCATTGTTGTAAGACATTTGCGCAACAATAGTCTAGGATAGCATTCGTACAAGAATGACATTGGACCTGGGATCGCATTAGAACAAGAATGTCCAAAGACGCAAAAAAATTACCTCGGATCACATTAGTGCAACAATTACGAAATTTGTGCAAAAGCGCAAAATAAACAAAATGTGGTAGAATTAGGCAGTACTGAAACCTGTACTTCATTCGAGGACGTTAGTAGATTTGTCCCATGTATTTTGACGATACAGAATTTCTTCGTCCATTATTCCGGGCAGGTATCTTGTACAGACTCTTTGGCAATAATACACAGCCAAAGATAAATATTATTTCAAAGTCTATACAGGATATTACGCAACTTACTGAAATATTTGTTTTATTTAACTTGCGCTTTCTTTAACGTCAACAGGTGTTCTTAATTTATAACTCGTTCACTGCTAGTTTTCAAGTCACCTAGGCCAGATGTGGAGATTAAAATACTAGATCTTACGTTTGTGATCTATAAGTAGCACAACAAGCTAGGAAGAATATACATAATTAATAATTGAGCGTTCACCAGAATTTGACTTTTGATGTTTGCGAATGTCGCCAGCAATGTCGGAATTGTCTGTGACCAAATAAGCTTAAAATGTCTGCGCTTTTAGTGGTGTAATTGTAATAGAGCATTTTAGACGGAATACAGAGATCTCCAAATTATGCTTTCACTGTACAGTTTGTATAAGTAGATTATCATTGTCACTGACGGATACAAAATTGCAAAAAGACGCATTTAGAAAATACGCACACTCTACCGCAAATTGGAGTAGCGTTTCAGCTCTTGACTTTTCTTCCGTATTCTTTCTGCACACGGAAAAGGTTCTTGTGTGAATTGTGAATTGTAAATTGTACAAACTGCCTGCGTAATGCAAGGCTGGGAAGGTAAACAAGTCGCCACAGACTGAATACGAAGAACACATCCAGTGACCAGATCCTGCGGGCGTAAAAGTCGTGCTGGAGATGTCCCGTCCAACCAGTTCCGGAGCATGCGATGCAAAACTGGCTTCGGCACTTTACATTCCCAAGTCGTATCGCGGTGAAAGTATTCTCTTTCGCTGTCAGCGCATACACCTCCGACTGCAGTAGAATGTTGGAGGCTGGCTTCTTTGCAGGTTTCTGCCAGTTCATTCATCCGCCTGTTCGCATAGCAATCTTCGAAACTACTGAACGGAATGCGATTAAATTTGACGTTGCGAGTTTTTCGTTGTACCCGACGTACTTGAGCAGAAGGGACTGGTGAGAGATCTCATTAGAGTGTAAGATTTTACTTGAAAAGTTTTGACTTAATGGGGCAGAGATGTTGTGGAGAAAATAATCGATATGCAAGGTCTAATACCTATCGTAAGCCAAATCTATCGATTAATTTATATTTCTTGGCGAAATAATTTTAACGACGTATGCAGGAGATTAATGACGTACTTGAAATATTAAAACGTTATTATATGTGTAATGTTATAAATAAGCAAATTTATTTCAATACAATTGTTTATAAAAAGAGACCCAGGCGAAGAACGGACAAGAGCGCTATTCAGTTTCACGCGTACATTCTTTGACAATAGGACCTTGTTGCATTCAGTGCCCAGGAGTCCGTTGTTCCCCTATGAAACAGTTGGCCATATGTTTAATCACGGACACCATGATAAACTTTTGTTCCAAATATAAATCCCATTTCCACTTAAAAGTTGGTCAAGTTCGTGGTCTTTCCCTCGCTCGCCGTCAGCTACAGCAAAATTAAATTCTGATAAAGCTACAGCAAACAATCACGAACTACTTTCTCTGCTGATACGTCCTTGGAACTCACATCTTTCTTCCCTCGTGTTAATATTTACACATCAGACAAATATATTTCTTAATGGGACAGGGAATCACACAGCATTATTTATCTGTTGTGCATCAGTGAATTAATAAGCCTTTACAAACTACGAACTTTCACTTCCTTGTCGCAGCAGATAAAGTTCCTGCACAGTGTTTTGTCACAATGTTTCGAAGGATGGATTTTCCTTCGTCTTCGGGTAAAAAAGGGGGCGGGATTCAGAAAACCGAGTAAAAGCGTGGACATTTTTGAGGATTTAAGATTCCGAAGACTTAAAAAAAAGCAGAAGACAGATACGGTCCAAAGAATGAAAACAGTAATGCGCAACAGTTACCAAAGACAGTCGACAGTCGAACTGGCTATCGTAGCCAAAAGACGTATTAGACTGCTTCCCGTGCTTATGGTGTGGATTATCTGCTTACCCTCTCGATTAACACAACGTTCGCTTTCTGGTAATTATTTACCGCCCCTACTAATACATTAATTTTCTGATTAGACCATGATATATAATTGATCAATAGTTTAAAAATTATAATAGCCTTTCAGCCCTTCTTCCAAAAATTATATTAATTGTGATAAATTAACGACGCCACTTAAGCTGTTATACATGATGTAGCACAGGGACAAACTGGAAAAACAATGAAAAATTAAAGAAACTACGTGATGAGACAACACAGAAAATATGGATGACCCACAATCCGATCTCTCGTGCTAGTTCATGTGACAGATGATGGAACAATAAGGAAGTAAATAATGGCCTATAAATGGAATGTTCGGCTGATTCGATTTCTTAATAACAACACAATAATCTGAGGTACGACAACATCAACCAAAGTTACAAACTCTATTACAAACAAGTGTGGTAATGCGCATCCCGATTTAGAATGTATAATATTTCTAAACGAAAGAGTCAAGATAGGTGTTCGTTCAGTGACTGGCTACAGGCTGGATAACCAGGATTCGATTCCTGTCAGGGGGCAAATGGCCAGAACATGAAGCTCTACTCGCCTCCATCTAGTGACTAAATTAATAATCTCCAGAGATTTTCCTCCACTCCCCCATACATCTTATAGCTTGGTACTCAAGCACAGCTCAGTCCTTCTTGAGAAGCTAATAGCCGCTCAGCTGGTAAAGATATTCACCGCCTTCTATTGAATCCGATGGTTCATTGCCGTGTTCATAACAACTCTCCACTAGTCACTGCCATGCGTTAGGTTGGATTAAGTTGGTTTATGTTGTGTTAGGTTTGGTTCGGTTAGCTAACCTTAGCTTAACTTTTATCATGAACAGTGAACATACTTTGTTAAGGACTTTGAACAGGCTACAGCGGCCTGTTGCAGGATAAATGCAGAAGTTTCGTGGAAAAACTCTCGAAAACCTCAGTCAAGCTAGACGGTAGTATGATCAAAATTCGAACTGCGTTCTTTCCAGAATGAAAGTCTCGTGTGTTACCTGTCCTTAAGCTGCTGAACATAATCGGACATGAGTTGCCAGATTCATGCACCATCAGTCTTATGCGAGGGAAATTGTTCCCGGCATCAAAGGCGCCTGGGTGGCCTCGGAAGTATACTGGCTATAAGGTCTACTGGAAAATATGTCACTACACAGAATCAATACCAGGTCGTCCAGCAGGTTTTAATAACGACCAATGTGCGTAGAGGAAACAAAATTTACAGACTCCCATTGGCATGTTCCGTCATGATGTAACTGTAAATTAGTTTCTGTTACTTGTTTTGTTTCCTGCCAGGCAGTCTGTTGTTTGAATCAGGTCTGAGTATTGGTTGACCTCGGACAGAGATTTATGTGTGTGTGTGTGTGTGTGTGTGTGTGTGTGTGTGTGTGTTTTAACAAGCGGAGACTTTTCACAAAAAGATACTCTTTACTTTCGGAAAACTCTTACCGTGAAATCACCAACATCTTCATTCTCATGCTCAAAAAGAATGGTAATGTTTTACATTTCTTCACGGTTCAAGTCATTCACTATTTCCAAAGCGACCTTGGAAATTTGAAAGCACATGCACTGCCCATTCAATTTCTTCTGATAATGATGTTGTTGCTAAAGAAAGCTTTTGGAAGGTCCAACTCAAATGATGTCAGTAGCATAACTTCAATGAACCCCGTGAGATAAAATCTTACACGAACACTTGATTTTTCTGAAATGATGAATGCGTTTCTAGCGTTTATGGAAAGTACATTGCCGTAATCACAAGCCCCTGACATTGAATTCTATCCTGAGGCAGCTAACTCGCGTCTCTAACTTCGCAACCTACCGACAATTATCCTAGATACGTTTTAATCTTATCTTCACATATACGAATGGGCCAACCAAGTGGCATCTTTCCTTTATGATCGTCGACCAAAATTTCTTATCTCCGCCATTTGTGCTACATAACCGTCAAACAGGTGTTTATTGGCAGTCAAAGCCCAAGGACTGCGTAATTTTTAACATACGATATTAGTTTTCATATAGTGAGAGGTTAGTTCCGCCCAAACTTCACAACGTGGAAGACCGCCCCT